CTTTCTCAACGTAACAATCGTTATCGTTCATCCTTCATCCATCCTCTCGAGGGCACGATTAAATTTAACCTGTTAACGAAGCGGGCTAATTTTACGACAGGAATTGTATCGTCCGTCGATAATGATACGTGGTCAATTAACACAGGGGCAATTAAGCGGCTCATTAAAAAAGAGGCTTACGACTGTTCGTCGTAAGGGATGACTTAATTAACTGAACAGTCGAAAAGAGAGCCGGGGGCGGAACACGTGGAAAGCGATAAATGAATAAAATTATTGCTCGGCCGCGTTCGTGACGAACGAAACGAGGTCGTTATCGGCAACGTACGCACGAACGACAAAGTTGCAGTCGATGAGGACGTCGAGGTTGATGGACCACGCACCCCTTCTCGTCCACCGAGTGAAACGGGATCGGACAGAATTCTTCCACTCTGGCGAGAATGTGGTTTCGAATTTCAATTTAAATTAAATATCAAGTCGAGATTAATCCTCCCCCTCCTCTCTCGTTACGTTACCGAGATAAATTCGAAGGCGTTCGAGTTGAAACGCACGCGAATCGAAAATTTTTTTCGATCAGGAAGCGTTTTTCGTTGTCCAGGAATTTGTCCAGTTTTTCAAAGTGTTGAAGGAATTCGAAGGTTGGAAATAGTTGAGTAATTTCGGTTCAACAATTTGGAATTGAAATTTTCGAAAATTTCTTGAAAACTTGATTGAACTCCTTGGAATTCAAAATTTTCGCAACATTGCACTGTTATGAAGAATTTCACTCGCGAATTGGAGGAATTCATTCATTAATTCAGGAAACAATTTTTAATATTTAAATTAAAATCTTCGAGATAGATAGGAGAAAGAAACTTTTCAACTCGAGAATCTGCAATTCCATTCGAATTTAGAATTGGAAACGTTCGGAATACGAAATTCAAATCGACGAAAATCGTGGTGAGCTTCAACTAATTTCCAAGAATTCGTATCCAACAACGTGACTCCTCGTCAAACCCCTCGAAAACTGCACGAACAATATTTTTTAATCGCGATAATCTCAACTAACATATAAAAAAAAAAAAAAAAACAAATTTCAATCTCTTCGCGAAGAAACGTAATTCGCGTGTAATTCGTGTTTCCTCCTAAAGTACATAACATATCGAGAAATGGAATCGTTATTGTTGCATGTATTTGTGTGTACTATACGATTGCTATATAGGAACGGGTTAATTGCCGGTGCGAAATGAATTATGTGTTAATTAAATCGCGCTGTAATTGCATCCAATTGATGTAAAACACAATATTCCCGGAATAAAGGTTTCTATTTTGTACACGTATATTTATATTAATGAAATTCCACTCGTGATGCAAAAAAAAAACCGTGTGTCGATTATCTGATTTATATATATATATATATATATATATATACAATGGAGATTCATTAATGTTTCAGTTTCAGAAAATTAAGAAGAATAATGGGGAGGCAATTAATAACGAGCATCATCTAATATCGTGATATGATCGGTTTGATCGGTATCTGCAACGTGGATAAGTGGAAGAGATACAAATTGCCGTTTAATATTGAACAGATACAGAACGTTATATTATAACGTTGCTTAAATTATAAAATATGATTCGAGTTAAAGCTTTCGACAAAAAAAAAAAAATGAATTTAATTAGAAAATTAAAAGAGAAATGTATTTGAAGATTTTTATGGTTTATACGTATCATTAATGAGACGTAGGGTGCTCGTACAAGGGTATTTAAATATCACAAATATCTCGGGTTATTCGAGTGTTTAAATGGTTATTAGCATATTGTATTTGTTGTACGAGGGAACGGAAGAGGGGGGAAAAAATCGAGGGGAGGGGGAAATAGAGATAAAACGTTAGCACAGCGTGGATATCACGTTTCTTTCGATCGCCACTTCGCAAAGCTCTCGCGGATTGATAGCGCGCAAACTCGCGTGCCACTTCACACTCAGAATTTATAGTTCCTTTATTATTTCGACTAAGCTGCTCTTAAAGTTTCCGCGCACGTAACTTGCTTCCAATTTTTCGAGCCGGTGATCTAATCGCTCGGTATATCAACTTCTTACCATATTTCCTTCCTATATACGTTTTAAGATTTACACGTTTGTCTTTCAACTCGGTTCTATTCAAGTGAGTCCAAAGAACTCGCATAACGTATTATATCACTTGATTTCGCATTCCCTTTTTCAAATTCTCCGTTCCAAAAATTTTGAAAGCTTTCTCCATACTTCCAATCAAATTATTTTCAATGATACCTGTGTAGTGGAATTTCCATGATTTGTGAAAGATTAAGAACCTCTACTCTTTAACAGTGTGTAAGAGGAAGGGAAGAAGAACTGCAAAGTATAAGAAAGATACAATTACGAAGAATCTTCGATTAACAATATTTACGAGAAAAACATGGAAAATCGTGGAAAAGAAAGCAAATGCAAAAAAAATTCAAGGATACCGAAATTTTACAAGAGTCCTCTGTACAGAGAAAGAGAAGAGGAAAGTATAAGAAAAATACAATTGCGAAGAATCTCCGATTAACAATATCTACGAGAAACGCATGGAAAATCGTGGAAAAGAAAGCAAAGAGAATTCAAGGATACTTTGTTGCTACTGAAATTTCACAAGAGAAAGAGAAGAGAAATTGCAAAATTAATAATATCTACGAGAAAACTGATATCTACATGGAAAATCGCACAGGAAGTGCAAAGAATATCGAAGAAGATGCAACTCAAGGATACCTCTACTCGAAGAAAAAGAGGAGAGGAAGATACAATTTTCGAGTTTTAGTTTCGCGATTGCGAAAGAGAGAGGATCAGTGGTTCAAACGGATGGAAAGTCGCAGAGTCGAGAGTCTCTAAAGACAGAATAGGAGGAGGAGGGGGAGAAGAGGAAATGCGAAGAGCATCGAAAGAGGTGGAATCCCGATTGTAGGTATTCTGCGTAGAGGCCGATCCGTGTCCGTGCCCGTGACTTCTGGTTGCATGAGCGAAGAAAATGGAAAGATTTCGTGCGTGAAGTATTATTGGCGACCCGCTAATACACGAGAGTCAAGGTGAGGATGAAGGGGTATTAGAAGTTCACGCTTGGACGGAACACGCGAGTACTCGCACTGCTCGGCACGCGACTGATTCGCTCCCGGTCACCACACGCGAGAAATAAAAATCCATCGATTTTCTCCTCCCCCTTCGATGCTCTTCCTGGATCTCTCGCTCACCATCATTCAACTGGATCTTCGAATTAACAATTAACGCGAATTTATATCTGTTGTTGGGTCGTCGATTCGAATTTTCTTAAAATTTAATTATAATAAAATTTAAATATTTTATTTGATATTGCGTGATATTAATTTGAAATAATTCGAAATAAATTCAATTAAATTACGCTCTAGTAATATACAATATTATATTTTTCTTTATTTCTGATATTTAAGATTTTAATTTATAATCTAGTTTCACTAGTGGGAAATACATCTTTCATCTATTAGAGAATTAGAGTCAAAAAATATTTTTATATTATTTTTATATTACACGTATATTTGGAAAAATCAAAGTTTTCGTAGTAATTCATTATTTCGTATTTTAATCTTCTCTGTTCTCGTTTTTTTACATTTTTTAAATAATTACAATATTTGTTCATTATTGTTCGATATTTGTTCTTATCTTTTTATTCGGTTGGATAGGATCGAAGACGAGATGCAATCGTGCCGATTAAATGGAATCCCATGGGGGATGGTGGGGCTTGCAGAAATGGCCAATGTCGGCCATTTCGAAAGGAAGGAGCGTAGGCAGGCGGCGGGAAAATCCTATTACAGCTTATATTCCTGGTACAGAGGGGCTCGATTGAGCCTCGGCCTAACTCACCCTCCGCGCTGATCCGTATTGACGCGAGAGAGAAACCCACCCTCCGGATCAACCAATCAAATCGCAGCATCCGTCGCGCATGCGATCGCTTCGATGAACCCCCCTGCCACTATCGGTTATGGTGTCCTTTACCATCCTCTCTACCACTGAATTTCGCTCCATTCTCAATTACTATCCAACTAAAATTCCTAATTTTTGACCAAATTTTCCGAATTTTCTCGAAAATTATTATATATCCATTTCTATTTTATAATCAATTTTATCAATGTATAAGATCTGTTCGAAGTGTCAAGCATTACGACTGTAATGCTTCAACCGTTTTCCAATCCCAAAAATATAAGATAATCGTCCATTTCACGATCATGCGCAATTACCCTTAGGAATCGGTAGTAAAAGGAAAATCGGTTGACACGATACGAGGAAGCGAGGTCTCTCTTCATATTTTCAACCAATAAAAACTCGTCAGACAGTACCTGGCACGGCCACCTACGGCAACGGGTCGAAATAAAACAAAACAATACACATTTAACTGTGGGGAAAGGGGCGGGCGGACGAGTGCTTTAAACGGCTCACTCACTCCCCCGCGCTGTTCTAGCCTCCGTTTTAAACTAGGACGGATATTTCGGGCCTCGATACGTACTCGTTCGAGTTTCCAGCTCGTTTTGGTATTCGAAAACCCACGTCGATAAATGGGAAAACTTTCCTGAACGTTCGAAAGGAAACGGCCACTCGTTGCGGTTCCCTTTTTTTTTTCCATCGGTGAATATTATCACTGCACACTGAATTTCTTTCTTTTCTTTTCTTTTCTTTTTTTTTTTTTAATCATGTTTTGGGATAATTCTTCTCATATTGAGTCTAATATTGGGTTCAAGTTTTTTTTAATAAAGCTATATATTATAATGTGATGTATCGAATTATTTTATGTGTATGTTTTAGGTTATATTATATTTGGAATTCAAATTTTCGATTTAGAAATATTTGGAGATATTCTAAATTGTAAAATAGTATCGAGTTATTGTTTCGATGAAGAATAAAATTGGAAATGGAACTGGGATTACAGCAATTTCGAAATAATAAATAATAAAATGTCAACGATTGAATTCAAACTAATTATTGCAAAACGATTTTGTTACAGGCGCTAAACGGGTTCCTGCTGATACTCACCTGCGACGGGGAAGTGTTCTTCGCCACCCACAGCATAGAAAGTTACCTTGGTTTCCATCAGGTACGTAACATTCATTTCTATTTCGATCGTCGAATCGAAATGTCTCGTATTCGTAAACATTTTCCTTGATGATTCGATTACAGCGTAATATTCAACGTGCATCTTAATATTATGTTATCCTCTCGTGCCCACACTAGCTAGTCACGCCAAGAATGTCAGCTTCGTTCTACGTGTCGCGTTTACGCATCATCCCCTTTGCTTACGCTACGCCACGTTTTCCAGTATATTTCCGCGATTATATTTAATCTGGTTAACGTTCCAATTGTTTCAAGTAATGGATCACGTTGGTGATTAGAGTTAATTCAATATTGAAAATCCTTCTGATTGATTTTAGGATAGTAGGAACGATAATTTTGGTTCAGTGGATAATGCAAATGTTTCTTTTCAAGAATTTCGAGAAGAGTATCATCTATTCAATAATTTTTCGAATAATTTCGAATCCTCTTTGCGTGATAAAAAATTGAAGGAACGAGGATCGAGGGAGAAACCGTTTCATGTGAGAGTTTAAATTGCGCGCCTCTTTCAAGATGCAATAATAAGAAATTTCTTTTCGAGAAAAATAGAACGTTATTTGAAAAATTGGAATACGAATGATGGAAGAAATAAATTTATAATATTCCTCGTTACATCAATTGCTAAACAAGTTTCACCATACTGCAGATCTTAATTCAAACTGGTCTCATTCAATCGAACGATTCATCTTCATAATATATTCCGACTGAGATCAGCATTCTGTCTCACAAATGGACAATCATAAAACGGTAATTCATCACATCCTCTACTTTCATATATTATTTTCACTTCCAACACTAATACGTTACAAATCAAATATTATATTTAAACTACAAATAGAAAAATTTCTCAAAATTTCTTTCAAAAAAATTCAACGAAATATATCCTTTTTTTTAACTCAATCAACGATCACTATTTTACCTATTTTATAAATAGCTTTATAAAATAGATAGTCGAAAACGAAGGTAAAATATTTATCAATATTTAATTTCTGATAAATTCTTTTTAATAAATATTCTTTTTCCCCTCCAAATTTATAAATACATGAACTCTAATGATTCTCGAGTCACGATTAATTCGAGTGGATGTTCCGCGAACCACGTTGATGGCCGGCGGAGAAATAACGAGGAGCACGAGAAGGGTAAACAAGCGAAATCAGGAAAAGGAACGGATTAAACGAAGAGAGAAACCGGTTGCCTTTCTATCCGGAACAGAGCGATATCGTTCAACCCCCGGTGAACCGAAATGCGATCCGCACGCAGCCAACCCGGCACGCACGCGAGTGCGACAGAGAGGGAGTGATTGGGGTACCGAGGGAGGGTAGAGGAGGGGAAAAAATGACGGATGATGATTTCCCGACACACGATGACTACATATATATATATATATATACGTATGTATATATATTATATATATACGCCAGAAACGCACGCGAACGCCTTTGTCCATAGGATCGTAATTGCAGGAAACGGCGGATGATGATTTTCCGATCCGATGATCCCGCGTACGTAAAAAAGGGGGGAAACTCGGCGTTGCGATCTCGCGTTTCTTCGCAAACAAATTTCGCGGATCGCTTGGAACCGAGATCGTGGCTTTCCTCGTTCCCATCGCACGCCTTGCGGCGCACAATGATTTCCAATTCGTTCCTTGAGAACTTGTTCAACCTCTTTTCGAGTAGATATATCTGTATAACGGTGAAGATTGAGAGGGTTGAGAAAATTCGAGGATTATCGAAGTTGCGAAAATAAAATTTTCTCTTTTTTTTTTTCAATCTAAATTTGAGAATTTTGGAATTTTGTTCGAATTCTTCGACGGTATTATCAAAATTTGATAAATTTTTTCTGGAATTCTAATTGGAAAGAGATCTTTTTTGAGAATTTTAAAACTTCGAATTCTTCGACGGTATTATCAAAATTTGACTTTTCTGGAATTGCAATTGGAAAGAGTCTTTTTCGAGACTTTTGGAACTTTGAATTCTTCGACGGTATTATCAAAATTTGATAAATTTTTTCTGGAATTCTAATTGGAAAGAGATCTTTTTTGAGAATTTTGGAACTTTGAATTCTTCGACGGTATTACCAAAATTTTCTGGAATTGCAATTGGAAAAATCTTTTTCAGACCTTTGAGAGGAAATTTTGAAACGAAGATCAAAGTTTCAATGTTTTGATCGTTGGAATTACAAATCTTTGATGAGTTAAAAAATTGCAGAAATCAAAGATTCATTATGTTGAAATCATGAATGAAAATTCAAATTACTCAAAATCTGAGAAGAAGATTCTAAAATAAATTAAAAATCACGATCTATTCTACTCTACGAAACTTTGAATTTATTCCTATTTAAAAGAAATTCCACGAAAATGGTGGAAATTTTATCTTTCCAGTGAGATTGTATTGCACAAAGACCTCGATCATCTTTAACGAATAATTTGTTTATAAAGAAGGGAAAATAGGGGTAGTCAGATCGGGAAGAATAATTCCTCGGCTGTTGACTCGACGGTGGCATTCATTGAGATGTAACTGGGCACGCAAACGGTTCACATACACGTCACGATACACGAAGAACGATGATTTTTCCCCCCGATTACGGAATATTTAAGAGAAATGGACTGTATCGCGACTAATAACCGACGCAGCGATTTTCTCGAAGGCAGGATTTTCGTTTCGTCCCTTTTTCCCCCCTTCTCTCTCTCTCTCTCTCTCTCTCTCTCTCTCGTTCCACCCTTGCAGTTTATCGATAAACAAATAGCAAAGAAACACTGTATTTATATCCAGCTATCAATTACCGCTTACGTAAAAATACAGACTTTTTCCTTATTTCACAAATTTCAAAACTACCCCCTTGGAAAACTCACAACCGTCTTTCAACTTAATTAATACCACCGTAAACAACCGTCCTATGTCTACGTTCGCTATCCATCATGTTTCTACTTGAAATCATTTGTGCAAAGCTCGATATTTAAATTTTATCGAGAAAACTTCCTTTCGATGAATAATTCGTTGACAGAACGAATATTCAAATTATTTGATATTCTTTTCCTCTAAATAGAATTAAAAAATTACGAAAAGCAATGAAAAATAGAAACAAAAATACAACGCGTCTCTAAAATCGAGAGAAATAACTATTAACATCATACATAACAATTTTGATCCCATCCTAACGTTATTTATAGACGGTTACATCGCAACTTGCCTCTGCTGTCATTGCAAAAACGACTTCCCCCCCCCCCCATATACGCTCCTTGCACAAGTTCTCTCCCCCTCTCCTTCCCTCGATTTCATTCCCAGGCTACGATAAGTCCGCCCTCTGACCTTTTCGCTTAAATTATTACTTTTATCCACCGCTGGAGGATCTCAGGTACTATCGGAAGGGTGAGCCAATCAAGCCTCCGTGGAACAGCCGCCTCCAACCCTTCCCTCTCCATCCCCTCGATCGACCCTCGATTCCCAAACCCTCCGCGCTTTTTCCCTCGCGTGAGATACCGAACTGAAAAGGAGCGACAAAGAGAAGGGCGATAAGACAATAATAACCTCGATGTAAGATTGTTAACCAAGTGGACGCCGTCGTTACAAGCTTTTTCCACCGATTTGAACCGAGAGAGAGAGAGAGAGAGAAAGAGAAAGAGAGAAAAAGGTTTGTGTAATCGCGTCACACGAGACACTCTGAGATTACGTCGGTTCAAAGAGATCGAGTCGTGAAGGAGCAACGTAATTGCAAGTCAATTCATTCTCCCGTCGGATGATTTGAGAGAAAGAGCATAGAGGGAGGGGAAAAGAATATTCGAGGGTGAAATTCGTTTCGAGTGCAGCAAGGATCTGTGAAATCTCAGTTTACTTATCTCGTCGATTCTTGGGCTCGCAAGAAATGTCGCGAGTTGTGTCGGCCAGGTGGACACGCAGCACCTTCTCTCCCGTTACCCAGCCGTGCAACTGCTCGTTCGCGGCGTTTGCGTGCTCCGTCGCGTTTCAATGGGCGCGCTCTGGAGGATGAGGGGAGGGAGGGGGCGATGGTCGGTGCGTAGCACTCGTAGCACGCGTTTCATTCGTCTTCTCCCCTAATACAGTCGCGATTTTCCACAATTCGAAAATTAATTTTGGTTTTAATTCGACTCGAGATCGAGGCGTTGCTCACTGATTGATAATTGGTGGAAAGAAGTCAAAGCTTCACGCGCTTTGTTCGAGTCTTGTAATATCGTAAGTAATGGAAGAGGTATGAATTCGAAGATTATTTTCATTTATAAAGTTAAGATGATTAATATTTTCGAAACTATTAATTATTTTGATATAGTATGTTTAGCTTGTACAATTATTAATATTATTATCTTAATTATTCGAGTACAAAATTGCATTTATAGATTAAACTATCGTAACAAATTATATAACTATAAACAGAGAGAAGCAAGAAAATTTTCATATCACATCGATACGTTAGAATTCTCTCGTCGTTTTGGATCCTTAATCAGAGAGAGACTTCTTTCCATTCCGATTGAACACCAATTGAATACAATCCACAATTACGCACGGATAAATGTTCGTTGAGCGTTTATACACAGTTCAACTTTACACCTTGGTTACTCATTCATCCGATTTCCTTCCCCTTCAAACGATCTCATCCTCCCTCCTCCCTGTTCCCAGTCGATTAGAAAAATCAATTGATTCGCAAGGGGGCGGCGAAGGTTACCTCGATTCGCACGCGCTGAATTATGTGGCACGTTTTGACAATTAATAGCCGTTAATGAAGACGCGATCGGCCGCCTGACCCTAAGGCCATATCCCTCCTTTCCACTCGCTTTTGTTACGAAGGAGATCGGTGGAAGGAAGAGAGAGGTGGTTCATAACTCTGCGCTCGTAATTGAGAGCTCAACATTCGGAGGGGGAGGCGCATTATCGCGCACACACCGCGCAAAAATTCCTCTCCCTCTCTCTCTCTCTCTCTCGTGGCTGGCCTCCTCGAGACGATTTCTCGATGCGATCTCTCGCGCGAGCGGGA